TTGGCTGGAGTTTTTAGGCGCTCACACTATTGTTTTTCGCACATAAGTGACCTATGTCTTGCCTGTCCCTCACTTGCACCCTTGAGTCAGTTCAGGTCATGGTGGGTCCCTAACTGTCACTCCAACCTTCTCTGTGCTATGCAGTTTTTCCACATTCCTGGTATCTCACACTGACCTTGTCAACTGCCTTTGCATCCAAATCCATCCCCCCCCCCCCCATATCTATTTTAACTCTTTTCAGGATTTGTATACCTTATTTACCCCATCAGCAATCAAATGAAGGAATTCTATAGTGACGGAACTGGAAATTCCATAGATTTCAAATAGTAATTTCTTGCAGTGTTTTTGTTTTTTTTTTTTATTTTAAGTGTATTCACAATGGATTTTAGGCTGTCGGGTGACTTTTGTTTTTTTTTTTTTTTTTTTTCCCCCTTAAATCCTTTAAGGTTTTGCAGCCCAAAACTTCACCAAAAGGTTGGAGTGTTTGGAAAATGTGTCGAAACTAAAGACTTTTGTCTATAAAAAAGCCTTTACTGCAATGCTAACCTCCAATCCGGAGCTGTCCACCCCCAGTACTTTTTTTTTTTTTCAGCCACAAGATGTCCATCTTCTGTGTTGAATGGGCGGTATCATTCAACCCACTTTTTCTGAGCCCAAGCTGGTCTTGTACACAACCTCAGCTTGTGACTGGATGCAGTCACTCTGTTTTCTCCTTCTATCAGCATGCGTCCTCCTGTCAGCACATGAACAGATTAGTTCCTTGTGCCTCATCTCCATCCCTCACTCTGAGCTTCTTTGTACTAGGGTTGCAAAAGGCTGATATCTGGTCAAATTCAGGTACTTGCACTGCTTGGAAAAATAAAAAGAAGGGAGCAAAAAAGGAGCTGCATTAACTAAAGTATTTTTATTATGTATCCTGACCAGATTTTTTTTTTTTCTTTTATATTGTGTCAACCAGTTGCACAAGCTGTATGTGTTTATTCCTTAGGATTACAGTTCAAGGAAACCATAATGGCTTTGGGTGTTTTTGTGGATTAAATTGATGTGTTTTATATCGTTTTTTGTACCTTTTTTGTTTGTTTTTGTTTGTTTGGGGGGTTTTTGTTTTTTACCTCCTAAGCATTTTAAAGATGCACACAGGATTTGCAGAACATTATGGGTTTGCTGAAGCTGTTTTACATTCAGACTGTCTTTCATTAACAGCTTGTAGAAAGCCATACGGAAAAGTACAGAGAGGGAGTAAGTGTGGATGAAATATTCAACTAACTTATTGCAATCTAAGCTGTAGAAAGTATGGGGGCAGCACAGTGGCTAAACGGTTAGTACTTCCACCTGGCAGTACTAGGGTCGTTGGTTCAAATCCCAACTATGGCACCTCCTGCCTGGAGTTTGCATGTTCTCCCTGTGCCTGCGTGGGTTTCCTCCCACACCAAAGACATGCTGGTAGGTTAATTGGCTCCTGTCTAAATTGTCCCTAGTATGTGTATGTATGAATGTGAGTTAGGGACCTTAGATTGTACGCCCCTTGAGGGTTAGGGACTGATGTGAATGTACAATATATATGTAAAGCGCTATGTAAATTGACAGCGCTATAGAAGTACCTGAAATAAGTAGTAATAAAATAAATATTTCTGGGGCACGGGAATGCACTTACCTTTGCTCTCCTGTGACCCAGAATCAGCCGACAAAAGCTCGCTATTGGCTGATGTCAGAGCCATTCCTGGCTCTGGAAGGATCCTTGCTATATTGTCAGGATCCACCCAGATGCCCAATAGGCAACTGGCATGGCTATCGTTCTCAGCTCTGAGTGAGCAGCGATCACCCGATCGCTCAGTTCTCAGGCTTAGAATTGTGTGTGTTTGTTGTGGTTTTTTTTTTTTTTGGTTGGGTTTCTCCCCCCCCCCCCCTCCCCTTTCCTCAAAAGGAGACGTGTCCTTCTTGATATTAGCCGGAAACCTGAAAATAGCTTAAGGCTCCATCTGCTGGCTGGAAAAAAAAAATTAATATGAAATATTTGTTTGAATTTTTGTGTGTTCATGCCATTGTTGTATTTTATTGTATTGATGTTCAGGGATGCTTACAACAGCTCTTGTGCATTTCATACTGTGTCTGTCTGTTTCCTCTCTCCCCCCCCCCCCCCCCTATTTACATAGTTAGTCTGGCTGAAAAAAGACAAAAGTCCATCCAGCTCAACCATTAAAAAAAAAAAAAAAGTTATAATCCTACACCCACAGTTGATCCAGAGGAAGGCAAAAAAAAACCACCAAAGCATGACCCAATTTGCTCCTGCTGGGGAAAAAAATTCCTTCCTGATCCCCCGAGAGGCAATCGGATATTCCCTGGATCAACTTTACCTATAATTGTTAGTATCCAGTTATATTCTGTGTATCTAAGAAAGAATCCAGGACTTTTATGAAGCAATGCACTGAGCTGGCCAGAACCAACTCTTGAGGGAGTCTATTCCACACTTTCACAGCTCTCACTGTGAAGAAACCTTTCCGTGTTTGGAGATTAAATTTCTTTTCCTCCAGACGTAAAGAGTGCCCCCTTGTCCTCTGTGATGACCTCAGGGTGAAATGAAACTACATACACCGATGTTCACTGGAGATGAATCCCCCCTGATGTATTTATACATGGAGATCATATCCCCCCTTATGTATTATACATGGTGATCATATCCCCCCTTATGTATTATACATGGAGATCATATCCCCCCTTATGTATTATACATGGTGATCCCCCCTTATGTATTATACATGGAGATTATACTTATGGAGATCATATCCCCCCTTATGTATTATACATGGAGATCATATCCCCCTTATGTATTATACATGGAGATCATATCCCCCCTTATGTATTATACATGGAGATCATATCCCCCCCATGTATTATACATGGAGATCATATCCCCCCTTATGTATTATACATGGAGATCATATCCCCCCTTATGTATTATACATGGAGATCATATCCCCCCTTTTGTATTATACATGGAGATCATATCCCCCCTTATGTATTATACATGGAGATCATATCCCCCCTTATGTATTATACATTGAGATCATATCCCCTTTATGTATTATACATGAAGATCATATCCCCCCTTATGTATTATACATGGAGATCATATCCCCCCTTATGTATTATACATGGAGATCATATCCCCCCTTATGTATTATACATGGAGATCATATCCCCCCTTATGTATTATACATGGAGATCATATCCCCCCTTATGTATTATACATGGAGATCATATCCCCCCTTAATCTTCATCTCCAGAGAGAATACATTCAGTTCCTCTAATCTTTCCTCATAGCTGAACTCCTCCATGCCTCTTATCAGTTTGGTTGGCCTTCTCTGTACTTTTTCCAGTTCCCCAATGTTCTTTTTGTGAATTGGTGCCCAAAACTGAACTGCATATTCCAGATGAGGTCTTACTAAAGATTTGTACCGGGGGGGGGGGGGGAATGATATCTCTCTCTCTGGAGAGTCTATACCTCTTTTAATACTTTAGAGAGGCTTGGCTTGTGATCTACCAGAACCCCCAGATCCTTCTCCATCATTGATTCCCCCCGTTGTACCCCCCTAGTATGTATGATGCATGCATATTCTTAGCCCCCAAGTGCAGAACCTTACATTTATCAATATTAAACCTCATTTGCCACATAGTTCCCCAATTACACAGAGCATTGAGGTCGGCTTGTAAGTTGGAGACATCCTGTAAGGACGTTATTCCACTGCATAGCTTGGTGTCATCTGCAAAGACTGAAATGGAATTTATAATCCCAGACCCTATATTGTTTATAAATATATTAAAAAGTAAGGGTCCCAACACTGAACCTTGGGGTACACCACTGACACCCCTAGACCATTCAGAGTATGAATCATTAATCACTACTCTCTGAATACGATCTTTTAGCCAGTTTTCTATTCATTTATATACAGATTTTTCCAAGCCTGTAGACTCTACCTTACACATTAGCCATATGTGGAGAACTGTGTCAAATGCTTTTGCAAAATCCAAGTAGACCACGTCTGCCGCCAGCCCTCTGTCCATGTAGACCACGTCTGCCGCCAGCCCTCTGTCCATGTAGACCACGTCCGCCGCCAGCCCTCTGTCCATGTAGACCACGTCCGCCGCCAGCCCTCTGTCCATGTAGACCATGTCCGCCGCCAGCCCTCTGTCCATGTAGACCACGTCCACCGCCAGCCTCCTGTCCATGTAGACCACACCCGCCGACAGCCCTCTGCCCATGTAGACCACACCCGCCGCCAGCCCTCTGTCCATGTAGACCATGTCCTCCGCCACCCCTCTGTCCATGTAGACCACGTCCGCCGCCAACCCTCTGTCCATGTAGACCACATCCACCGCCAGCCCTGTGTCCAAGAATACCACATAGACCACTGCTACCCCTCTGTCCAAGTATATCATGTCCATAGCCACCCATGTCCAAGGTTATGCTCCCCTCCTCATAAAAATAAATCAGATTTGTTTGACAACTTCCATCTTACATGAATCCATGCTGTCTGTTCTAATGCTAGTTACTTTAGCCCTAGCTAAGCCCTCCCTATGTTTCCCATGTCCCTCCAGTTAATTTTAAAGCTTCATTGCAAAGACTGGGTTTACACTGTAAAAGACTGAAAAAAACCTTGTGTACTGAACTTCTCTGAAGTCAATTTTTTGTTGGGTTCAATTTATATGTCTTAGGGAAGAGTTAAGCTGCTCTTTTGGATTCTGCAAAGTCAGCAAGTGATCATACTGTCCATACAGGGTGAGTTTGAGGACTGTGATTGCATAGAATGGTATTTAAAACCGAACAATCTGGTCACCTAAAAGGGCAGGGAACATTGTACCATCTTGCTAGAGTCCCTTTTTTTTCATCCTGTGATGACACCATGTTTGCATCAACAAATCCACAATTCTTTAAAAAAAAATAGGAATAGCTTATCATTTTCTCATTCCTTTTGTCGTAATTCAGCGTCCTTACCATTATTTTCCAGAGCTAGAGAAATCCACGGTGATAGAAAATGGCGAAATCCGAATTAATGGAAAAGGAAAGAAAGTCAGGAAACCTCGAACAATCTACTCCAGTTTACAGCTACAGGCCCTCAACCAGAGGTTCCAGCAAACACAGTATTTAGCCCTTCCGGAAAGAGCAGAGCTTGCCGCACAACTTGGCCTGACTCAGACCCAGGTGAGAACCAAGGGGCTAGGGGGTGGATGTCCTGTTTCATGTTGAAGGATCTCGGTTTAAGGGCAACCTCTTTTGCCAAGCTTGAGGAACTGATTCCACCTAAGGGCAGACCACAGGATCCATAGAGGGATGTGTGTGTGCTTGTCCATGAGTTGGTGTGCTGAGCACCAGGACCCACCAAAATTTGGTCTGATCTCCAGAAGATCTTCCAGCAAGCTGCAAAGTCTTTTGCGATAATAATGGCTGTTATAGGCCAAGCTCGCTTAATATATCTGGGAGATTTTATAACCACACCTAGTTAACCTAAATAAATGAGGAGTTTTTCTTTTTTTTTAACTGTTTTTAAAAGAAGATGATAAATCTTTTGAAACTAGCACAAGCCAATTTAAAGTGTTACTAAAGTGTGGATCCTAAAGGGCTACAGGCCCTCAACCAGAGGTTCCAGCAAATGCAGTATTTGGCCCTTCTGTAAAGAGCAGAGCTTGCCGCACAACTTGGCCTGATTCAGACCCAGGTGAGAACCAAGGGGCTAGGGCAGGGGTGTCAAACTGGAGGCCCTCCAGCTGTTGTAAAATTACAAGTCCCATCATTCCTCTGCCTTTGGGAGTCATGCTTGTAACTACTAGTCTTGCTATGCCTCATGGGACTTGTAGTTTGGCAACAGCTGGAGGGTCACCAGTTTGACACCTGTGGGCTAGGGGGTAGATGTCCTGTTTCCTCCTCATTTTGTAAAAAGGATGTTTTGATCCTGTCTTCTCCCCCCTCTTTTACTGTCCCCAATCCTTCTGCTGATATAAGAGCCTTGTGGGCAAGCTGTACATGCTCTGTTTGGTGTCTATAGGAGGTTTGTTTTGTTTTTTTTGTTTTTGTTTTTTTGTTTTTGTGTGGTGTTGTTTTTTTTTTCTTCAGACAGTTGGGGGTCCTGCAACCTCATAAAACGGAGGAGGAAAAGAAGAACTCCTACAAGCTTTAACTAGTGCTCTGCTGGACACTGGTAGAAGTCACAAGACTGCTCTAACTGCTGATTTACTAAAATAATTGCATTTCATGTGTGTACTGTGGGAGATCAGATATAGTGAATGCAGGGTCCGGGGAGACCAGATATAGAGAATGCAGGGTCCGGGGAGACCGGATTTAGTGAATGCAGGGTATGGGGAGACCAGATATAGTGAATGCAGGGTCCGGGGAGACCAGATATAGTGAATGCAGGGTCCGGGGAGACCAGATATAATGAATGCAGGGTCTGGGGAGACCAGATATAGTGAATGCAGGGTCTGGGGAGACCGGATATAGTGAATGCAGGGTCCGGGGAGACCGGATATAGTGAATGCAGGGTCCGGAGAGACCAAATATAGTGAGTGCAGGGTCCGGGGAGACCGGATATAGTGAATGCAGGGTCCGGAAAGACCAGATATAGTGAATGCAGGGTCCGGGGAGACCAAAAATAGTGAATGCAGGGTCCGGGGAGACCAGATATAGTGAATGCAGGGTCCGGGGAGACCAGATATAGTGAATGTAGGGTCCGGGGAGACCAGATATAGTGAATGTAGGGTCTGGGGAGACCGGATATAGTGAATGCAGGGTCAGGGGAGACCGGATATAGTGAATGCAGGGTCTAGGGAGACCAGATATAGTGAATGCAGGGTCTGGGGAGACCAGATATAGTGAATGCAGGGTCCGGGGAGACCAGATATAGTGAATTCAGGGTCCAGCGAGACCAGATATAGTGAATGCAGGGTCCAGTGAGACCAGATATAGTGAATGTGTAGGGTCTGCAGGGGGAGACCAAATATAGTGAATGCAGGGTCCGGGGTTTAGTAACACTTTAAGAGTGTGCTATATCCTAAATGAAGGTGATATTGTATACATTATGTAAAAGTTAATATTGATAACTTATATTATTGTTAATATTCTTAATGTTAACCTATTTTATATTTATTTCATTAATATTCTAAATTATCAGAATATAGCTGTAACTTTCTATTCAGCCTATTGCTCAGTGTTAGCAGTTATCTTAGGCAATCCGAGGCAGTACAGGGCTAGTTGGTAGTTTTTGTTTTTTGTTTTTTCTTCTGCAAGATGACTGAATAGGAAGCCGGGCTTGTACTAGAAACTATAGCTAGGCAGTGCTGTGAAAAAATCTGGTTGGTGGAGCTTACAAGAAGGCAATCCCTGCTAATCACCAAGGAGGGAACAGGACACAAAGGTTTTGCACCTTTTGTCCAGAAATCAAAGCATTGTTCCAAAGCTGAACCTCAGGAACAAAAAATTAAATATTAATTAGCCCTACAAGGATATATGTAAATACACTTTGAATACACATGGCTCCTGCTTATCCCAGAGCTCAACTCAACATTTGATTTTGGCTTTTGTTTAGTTGTGTAGGAGAGCAGTTAGAACCTCAGTTGGGTTTTTATTGCTGTCACCATTTGGAAGGTTTCCTTTTTGACTTCCTTTCCCAGTCAGAAGGAGAAAAAAAGACCGGAAATGATGGAAGAACTCCAATGTGGCATCAAAAACATGTTTATAAATGGAGGGGGGATAGGCAAAAACTTTTCCCCACTTGGTCAGGTTTTTAATAATTTGTGTGACTTCCTATATTGGTTACCTTGTTTCCTGTCCTTATCTCACAGGAGTGTTATTGAGACAATTGGCGAGGGAAGGTTTCCCTAGTTGTCCCCTCCCTTTTCTTGTCAAAGCTAACTTCCAAAAATTCCAAAAACAAACTTGGACTTAAGGGTTTTTTTTTTTAGGGGGGGGGGTTACTTGTTTGTTTTTGTTTCCTATTTTGGAAGGAGCAAGGGGTGCTCTAACAGTTTGTTTTTTTTTTGCCATCTGTATCCCATTGGGTAGGCTTCCCTCTACATCCCGTCCTGTAGACACAAGAAGTGAGGGAAATTGTAGGAACATGGGTCCCCAACTGAAGATGTCCCCTCTTGGTGACAATGATCGTTGGGACAAGGGATGAGCTTGGTTCCAGTCCAAACTAGTGTTCGGCCAAACTCAAAAGGAAGCTGTCAGTACAGGGCCAATCCACTTTAGCCAAGGCATTCCAATTAGGCTGAATCTTCCCTGTGGGGACTGCAATAAAAAACTTACATATGTTGTAATTCTTCACCGCTCCATCCAAAACAAAAATGTGTTTGATTTTAGATGCTATTTAAAGTGCAAGGAACAAAAAAACTTTGCAGTGTCAATATGTACAACACAGGGCTCTTGATACTATGTTGTATAAAAGGAGGTATGTTCCTGAGGAGGAGGCCTCAGGGAAACTGGTCACACAGGTGGCGAGAGCCAAGGTATTGCACCTTTATTACCTTTTTATTACTCCACACCTAAACTTGAGGAACATTTAACCCTTGCAGTAGGGGAGCTGCAAGAGTAATTTTGTTTCCTTGTGCCCGCAGTTTGGCTTTAGGGATTGGTTGGAAGGGAAAAAAATAATTATGCTTTAGATTTGGACGTCTACACACATTATGGAGGCTTTTTCTATTTTTGAAAGCCTCAAACTGCCAATGTAAGACCTCAAACTCTGGATTCTTCTTGCTAGACCATGATGGGAGTCCTAAAATGGGTCTTGATTTGTAATTAATGTTGTGCTTTGTATATTACTCAACATATTATTCAATGTAAAAAAAACCAAACATATTCTTTGTTCCCTAATAGGTGAAGATATGGTTTCAGAACAAGAGATCCAAGTACAAAAAAATAATCAAGCAAGGTCCTAGTACCCAAGACGGAGAGCAGTCTCAGAATTCATCCTCGGTTTTCTCCATGCTCCCCTAATGGTCCTCCAATGTGGGACTTTCCTACTGCTGGAAGAACTGCCCCCATGTCCTCTGATTACTTGAACAATTTCAATTCTTGGTACCAGAATCCAGATGGTTTGCCCAGACCGCCAATGTTATAACAAGAAAAGAACGATCAAGCCTTTTAACCTTATTTTGTACCACGAGGATAAATGAGCCAATATGGAAGCCCTGTTTATGGATTACAGAAGTGATTCCAATTCAAGTCCTGTCTTCCATCTAGTAATGACTGATGCTGATGACCCCACACCATCTATACTTATCACTAGTAGGTGATCTGAATGGACATCCTATAGTTTTTCATATTTCAGAAGAGACAAATGGCTCTAACAATACCCTAATCCTTATAAAGCAAAAATGTAGTCCGGTCAAAAATATACACCCTACAGCTTATTGACTACTACAGAATAGCAGATGGCTGTGTAAAACCTGAGCCCTTACCTGAGATCAATTGTAATAGAGGAGAGGCATGTGGTCAGCAAACACTATGTTGTGAATTAGAAGCAAGCTTTAATTTTCTAGCAGGCTTAAGAGGACTAGGGACTTAAAATTGCAAAAAAAATCATTAGGTTGGTCAATGGTGGACCTAGTCAGCAGAAGACCCCATGAGGGCATAATTTTGCCTCCCTCCCCCTTCTCACATTCCTTTACTGCCTATTCAATGTATTTAGTTAAAAGTAGATCAATATAAGCCTTCAGGATATCCCAGTTTTAAACAGTCACCATTCTATTCCTTTCTTCCCAAGTGACCAAGTGGAGAAGCCTTCTGCTGGTCTCAGTAGCCTGGGAGAACAGTGTGGGGTGTCATGAAACATTCCTACTTCTCACCCCTCCCCCCTTTATTGGAGGGAGTCCTAGCACCTTTCTGACACACCATCTCGTGCAAATGGACCCCTAAATCCCAGAAGGCCCCGATGTAGCTACACAGTCCAGGAGGACCTGGGTTCAGAGGAAATGGGTTGAATGATGCTGGTCATCAGACTGAGGACGTCTAGCTGCAGAAAAGAGTACTGCAGGGAAATATTGAGACTGACGCTGAATCATGCAGCAAAAGCTGGTTTTGTTATTTTTGTCTTTGATTGCATTTTTATTTTGAGTGTTTTTTGTGTGGGGTGTTTTTTTTTTTGTTTGTGCGTGTGTGTTTTTTTTTTCTTTTTTTTTTTTTTCTGTTTTTGTGTTTGTTTTTTGTGGGGGAATGTTTTTTTGGCTGGAGTCTGACTGCACTGACAGGTTAAAACCAGAGGACCTTAGCTGAACCGCCAATATGTTAAAAAATGTAAAAACATACAATATGTAAAGCATTAAATATATAAATGCATTGGGCAAATGGTACAGAGAGATATTAAAGATCTGCTCCAGTCAAAACATTTTTATTTTGTTTTGGATAAAGCAAGGAAGGGTTAGCGTCACTGGCGGGTATTTATTGGTTCATCTGGGCCCTTCTGTCAGGACAGGACGTGATCAGGGGCGGACTGACCATTTGGAAACTCAGGCACTGCCCGAGGGCCCGGGGTCAGTAGGGGGCCCCATGAGATGCCCCTGGTACCTTTTTCATAGGCTTTTTTGAGTTTGGGCAAGGACACAGGGGCTCCATGATCCCCTATTTCCTGGGGGCCCCATGAATTGTCAGTCCATCCCTGAACGTGATTATAGCTATACCTTCCTGTCCTGGGGGCGTGATCTCTCCCATTTCTTGCATGGCTGTCACAGGGAGAGGAAGTAGGAAAAATCTCCCCAATAGTGTCACAGAAATAACAATCGGACGACTCTGGAAGTTGGATTTTAAGTGGACAGGTTCATCATATAACATGTTAACCTCCTTTATGCTGCTATAGGATTTTTGAGTTCTATGATGGTGCTTCCCCACAATCTGTCTCAGCATAGACAGATATAATGAACACAAATGTACACTGCTCTGTAATGATTTAATTAATCATTACACTTCTTTTTTTTTTTTATACTAGCAATGAAAGAACCTGAATTTGACCTGATATCTGCATCTTGCAGTCCCTGTACAGCAGAGCTTGAGAGATGGAGAAAAGCAGTCTGCTCCACAGGTGCTAACAAGGGGAATGCTGACAGGAGAAGAGAACAGAGTGACAGACAAGCCCATCAGTCTGCTGCTTCTCCTGTCTTTTTGTGCTGGATAGGTAGAAATACAGATTAGGTGTTTTATTGCTGTAGCTAGCGGTCTGCCTGCAGCTCTGCTTTTAGGAAGCCCAATTCTAATATATATATATCCATTCAGTGGTATCCGACCCTTGGCGATTGCATGGAGTGTCTCTCGTAAGCGACTTTTTCCATGAATTCTCTTAGAAATTGTTTTTACAGGGTAGGTTTCCAGGTCTTTCCCCAACCCCTACCATGCAGGAGATCCCGCATGGCCGGGGAAGAAACTAAGACAATTTAGACAGGAGCCAATTAACCTACCAGCATGTCTTTGGAACGTGGGAGGAAACCAGAGGAAACCCATGCAAACACAGGGAGAACATGCAAACTCCATGCAGGAGGTGCCATGGTTGGGAACTGAACCCATGACCCAATTACGGCAAAGCAGAAGTGCTAACCACTAAGATATATATACTAAGAGATCAGGGGCAGACTGACAACTCATGGGGCCCCCGGGCAATAGGGGATCATGGGGCCCCTGTGTCCTTGCCCAAACTCAAAAAATCCTATGAAAAAGGTACCAGGGGCATCTCATGGGGCCCCCTACTGACCCTGGGCCCTCGGGCAGTGCCCGAGTTTCCAAATGGTCAGTCTGCCCCTGTAAGAGATATATATATACATATATATATATATATATATATATATATATATATCTCATAGTGCAGCCTACCTGTCAGGGCCGACAGACCAAAAAAAAAAGATAGATCCTCTGTAACTGGGATATAATCTCAATTAGTTTTGGTCAGTGTTCTGTTTTAAATGACACTTTGCCACACTGCATTGCCATACCTCCTTAGTCTGTCCAGGCAGTATGATCACCTGCTGACTTGGCACTTTCCATAGGCAGCTTAGCTCTTCGTTAAGACACAGAAGTAGAATCAAACAGAATTTTACTTCAGCTAATTGCAACACAGAGAATGATTTTATAGTCTGTTGAAGTGTGTGAAAATAATACTTCAGAGAGCGGGATTGGAAAAGTCACCAACACTGACTGAGAAGACCTGGAAGAAATGGCTGAAACAGAGGGGAGGACAGGGGGACATACCAAACCACATAAGTAAACAAGTTGTAATGGCTCAAAATGGCTACTAGGTGTCAGCATACCACAGAACCATAATAATCTGAGGTTCAATACAATGCAAAACATGACCTAAAAGTAGGGCAGAACAATCAGGGTAAGCTGTGTGCATACAAGTGAGAATCTGCAAATCTGTATGTAATATAGTAATGGAAAAACAAGCATGCAAAATGTGAAAGCTATAACAAAAAGTAAATGCAACAGAGCTCAAAAAGTGTGCTTGGTGAAAATACAGCAGCTTCCCATTTTTTAAAAGGAATTCAATCCTAATAAAACAAATAATAGAGTATCTGAAATGCCAAGTAATAACTTTGCACACTGTGCGCAAAAAATGTCCCTCCACTTTTACAGATATTGAACTTTTAGGGCGCGCAGCTTTCCAGTGCCGCCTGTTTTATGTGAGCGGCCATGTTGGACTAACAGACGCATAAATCTTGCAGTTTTCTTTGACCGGATTACTTGAACAGAAGCCATTCATCACTACGCTGCCTTTTTGTTTTAATATCTTCTGTTTTGATAAGCTTTTATATATTTTATCCCATCATTTTTATTAAATGCGGTTCTATGTTTGAAATTCGACTTTTTTGGAGAGACTTTTTTTCATTTGGTGTACTAGTATTGCATGAGCAGTAGAAGACTCTTGGACCGGGTCTGTGATCTGGTGGGTAGGAGAGCTCAGACCTCGAATTTAAAGAGTGCCAATTTCTGGTGCCTCACTCACTGTGGAACCTAAGGGGTTAATCCTCCGCATTGTGTAAAAAGGCTGTTTGATCCTGTCTTCTTTGATCCTCCTTCCAGTGTCCCCCTCTTATCTGCTAAGACATATGATATGGAGACAATCTCGCAATACACACCAAACTGAGCATGTGCAGAGGTTTTTATTTTTCTTGAGAGTGCATGTGATCAGCACTGTCCAGACAGAGGGTCAGGGGTTCTGCATCCTCCTACAGTAGAAAAGACGCTCCTCCTACAAGCTTTAACCAGTGCTCTGCTGGACACTGATAGAAGTTACAAGACTGCTGCATACTAGTAAAACATGCTTGTTATACTCACTGTGCAAGCTAAGAGGTTAATCCTCTGCATTTTGTGTGAAAACGCTGTTTGATCCTGTCTTCTCTGATCCTCCCCTTCTCACTTTTAACTCCTGATGGGACATTTTGTGTGGAGTCACTCTGCACATGCTCAGATGGTGTGTATTGCTAGAGAGGCTTTTTTTTTCTTCTTGGGGGGGAGAGAGCATGTGATCAGCACTGTCCAGACAGAGGTCAGGGGTTCTGCATCCTCCTAGAGCAGAATTAAGTTATCCTACAAGCTTTAACCAGTGCTCTGCTGGACACTGATAGAAGTCACGACTGCTATATACTGCTGATAAGGTATTTAGCGGTTTATATTTACTAAAATAATTGCATTTCCATGTTCTGTGTACTATGGGAGACCAGATATAGTGAATGCAGGGTCCGGGGAGATCAGATATAGTGAATGCAGGGTCTGGGGAGACCAGATATAGTGAATGTATTGTCCAGGGAGATCAGATATAGTGAATGCAGGGTCCGGGGAGACCAGATATAGTGAATGCAGGGTCCAGGGAGACCGGATATAGTGAATGCAGGGTTCGGGGAGACCAGATATAGTGAATGTAGGGTCCGGGGAGATCAGATATAGTGAATGCAGGGTCCTGGGAGACCAGATATAGTGAATGCAGGGTCCTGGGAGACCGGATATAGTGAATG